CCCCTCTAATGGAATATGATTAAACTTATTTAAAATCACCCTAAAAATGATAAACATTCCAGAGAATATGAACATATATTAAGCTTTCAAGCTAAAATGATCCATTAACTCAAGCACCTCAGGAAGTATGTTTAAGTTGATGGGAAAATATGTTCTGCTGGGGAATGATGAGTGAGAATGCTGCTATAGTCTTTTTTCTTTTCTGTTTTTTTAAAATCTTTTTTTACACAGAGATTTCTCTCCCTATAAAAGAAGAGCCTTCTCCTATTTCCAAAATGAGACCAGTGACAGCCAATATCACCACAATGCCAGTAAATACAGTGGTATCACGACCACCACCCCAAGTCCAAATGGCACCACCAATATCCTTAGAACCGATTAACAGTTTGTCCATCAGTTTAGAGAACCAACTGGAAGCTTTCTTAGATGGAACTTTACCTTCAGCAAGTGAAATTCCTCAACTAACAAGTAACAACGAGGACAGAGAATCATTCTCTCTGATTGAGGATCTCCAAAATGATCTGCTGAGTCACTCAGGCATGCTGGATCATTCACATTCTCCTATGGAAACTTCAGAAGCACAATTTGCTGCAAATAATTCCTGTTTGTCTCTTGACCTTCCTGATTCAAACTTAGACAATATGGAATGGTTAGACATTACTATGCCTAACTCCTCTTCAGGGCTTACTCCTCTCAACTCTGCTACTCCAAGTATGTTTTCCACTGACTTTTTAGATCCACAAGATTTACAGTTACACTGGGACTAAAAATAGGTTTTTTGGTCTCAGAACTTAAAGCTATAATAAGAGCATGTAAATAACTCTCTTGGAGGCGAGTTTAAGGGATAGGTCCACAGCTGCAGCTTTGCAATTAAAATGTTATCATAGAATGAATGAATACAAGGTGACAGGCCCTGAAACAAATTCTACAAACACTTCATTGCATTTAGCAGTGAATTTCTCTTTTTCTATGATTTAATATAGCATAGGGCCATCTGAGAAGTATACCTGTCAAGAAAACATAGTTGCTACAAGGACCTCAGTGATGAAAACTACCACTAGACAAAACATGGAAAAGAAGAGTACCTGTAGAAAATAGCACCAAGAGTCCTTTGTAGATCTTAAATCAACTACGTTTAAACCTCTGTGGTTACTTTAAGACTCTAAATAAAAGGCAAACAACTCGTTTTGATTTTAACTTTCAGTTTAAAGCAGAAACAAAGAGCTAGTTTGAGGGGAAGTTAAGAAATCACTGCACTTGATTGTTCCTGTAAAGAGCCTGAGCCAACATCAAGATTCATTAGGGAGTTAAAAGGCAAGGAAGAGACCTGGCCAGTTCAGGGACAAGGCCCTTATGGGTGATGTCTTTTGGTTCGGAAGCCTTTTGAATTTTTTTTTTGTTACTGTGGTTTGCTTTGTGACTTTATGAAATCTTACTTTGGATTTCCAGATTTAAATTTATGGGAAAACTTATTCACTATAAAAAGAGGGTTTCTTTCAAAAGTACTATCATGAACAAGCCACTAAAAAGTCCAGGTATATTGATAACACTGAAATTTAGCAACATTCTGGCTTGATTAGATTGATTTTTAATATGTATATTGGACAGTTATTTGTACACTATTTGACATTATAATTTGTACAGAGTATTTTGGGGTGGGAATATAGGTATTCTGTGGTTCTATTTGTTTAATAACTCTAGAGTACCTAGAAGACTTACTTGTTCTACATTTATTTCCTTGTGAACTATATATCTGATCACCAAATCCATCTCAAAGAATGAAAAAGAAAACTCTAGCATTAAATCTTTTTTTGACCTGGTCAGGTTAAAATAGAAAACAAAGGAAGAATATATAAAGTATCTGGTAACATTCCTATAATGATTACAAAGGTTTTTTTTGTTTTGTTTTGCTTTTTTTTGGTGAGGTAATTGGGGTTAAGTGACTTGCCCAGGGTCACACAGCTAGTAAGTGTCATGTGTCTGAGACGGAATTTGAATTCAGGTCCTCCTGACTCCAAGGCCAGAGCTCTGATCTACTGTGCCACCTAGCTGCCCCTACAAAGGTATTTTTAAGGGCCACTTTTGAATAGAGACTTCTTTCTGCTCTGATTTTTGTTCATTGCAACTAATATCCAGTTTGAAGCTTCATTTGCTTAGTAACTATAAACTATACAAGAGCTCTAACTCTTCAAGTAATGTTAAAGGAGTAGTGTGTCTAAAAATAAAAAACTGGAGTTTTCTGTTAGTACTTTTTTTGGTCAAGGAAAAAGTGGTAGTCTATATTTGGTTATTGTGAAGTTTCTTAAGAATTTCCTAAAATTCTTCACTGCAAAATTTCATAATTTTAAATGGTCATGTAAACATATAACAAATTAAAAATAGATGGGCTGGGACCTACTGTAAGTATTTGCGATTTGTATTAGGACAATGGTATTTCTTTATCCATCTCATCAGTTTGAGCCCTACATCCAGATTTGATGCTGCCTTTGTAATCCATTCAGTGACATTCCCATAAAAATTCCCAGGGAATTAACCAGGCTCTTTGCTTGGAAGGGATTTAGGAATTTTTTTTTCTAGATGTGCTCTTAACTAAAAGTTGTGCTTATTTCAGAATTTTCTTCAGTTTTATACATTTTACCAAGTGTGGTAAAATTGTGTTTATCCATCATTCAGTCAGCCAGAACACTGTAACTCTATTAATTGGCATTTCATAACTTTGAAGCAACACCAGATTCTGAAGTGCCTTCTGGAACTGTCAGAGATTTAAATTGTGTTTAGTGTAGTTTTAGTGTTGTGTATTTTATTTTACTTGAAGAATTAAAAAATTGGTAATCCTTGCATGTGTAGTACCTAATTCTTTATCTGATGAACCACAATACCCCATTCCCTGACTAAGTGAGATAACAGAGACTCCACCATATTTGGGGATGATAATATCTTTCTGGTAGAAATCTTTCTGCTTGGAAAGAGTGAGAAAAGGGCTTCAGTGGCAGAAGTATTTAACTTTGGAAAGTGTTATGTGTTTGTCATCTGGTCTTTTATGAGGATTTTTTGGTTTTTAAATTGCCCACATTACACACTAGAATATGGTATTCGGTTTTGAATAATTCCTTAAAATAAGATCAACTGCCATGGAGTTGTAGGGATTCATTAACTTTATAACTAATGGTAGCTTTTTAAATATCTTTGTATTTTCATAATCCCTATTTGTAAACACATTTTTCTGAGGAGCTCTGAGGAAGATGTTCATAACATTTATTGTTTTTCAACCATAAATGAGTTAAAACAGAGTACATTTTTTACATAAAATCATTCACAAAAAATAGATGATGTTATGAATGAAAGTACTCTCAATAGTTTATCATTTTCTAGTTAAGAAACCATAACTAGTTTGGAAAGAGAGTCTACAGTTATTAACTGTGCACACACATGTACCATTCCACTAGGCCATCTTTGGCTTTGGGTAGCAAGACATAATCATGAACTTATTATTATTACTTTGCAGGATACTAAACTCATGTTTAGGATCATTGTATTTTAAAATGTGCAGTCTGTAATCATAGACCAAAGATGATAATGTAAGAAAATAACCCTCAATCTGTTTCAGTGTTTATTATGTGAAAGTACAAGGTTGGGGTTCAAGAAAGGAGTGTCAGTTTCCTAAAGAAAAATTTCTGTTTAAGATCAGTTTCAATTAGCCATAGTAAAAGCACCACGTAAAATTAAACTGTTGAATATTCAATTAGCATGTATATAGTTTATAAGTGGTATTATGTATCATTGAAAAATATTTTACATTGCCAAGAAAACATTAATTCGTAACTGTCTATTTTATCTCTAGTCCCTGTCACAACTCCTTCATACTTTAAAAACATTTAGTATCAACCTTTGCTTTCTACTTTATATGGATCAGGTCATTTGGGGATAGGCTTGGGGGTAAACAAAAAATGATCTTAGCAAAGATTTTATCAGATTACCTGTAATGTAGGGGTGTACAATTATCTTGTGCATTTCAGAACAGCATCTATTAGAAAACCTTATAGAATGGCTTAATGGTTTACTTTAGAGTGTTTTCCTGAAATGTGCAAACTACTGTATAGAATTTGCCATGTATGTATACATATATATGTATTCCCAATTTGTAGAAACAATTCTTGCTTGAACATTATTTGTGTGTTTTATATGAATATTTTTGTAATACTGAAGAGATCTTACTTAAATCTTTGAAATTTCTAAAAAAAAATTATTGTCACCAACTAATAACATTATTTTGCAGTACAGTTTGAGTTGCAAAAGATACACTAGTATCAAGTTGAACTTGCTGCCTTTTGAAGACAAGGAAAAATAAAATGTTTCTGCTCGATCATGTAATTTAGTGGACATAAGTATATTAAGGAATACCCTATTTTATCAGAGTGAAAACCACTAAAATCATATCTCTTTTTTTTTCACCAAAGCTTAACTCAGGACATGTTCATACACAGCCGCTGACCATTCCAATCATTGTGGCTCACTTCCCAGTCAATAAAAATGGCCACAGGTGACTATCTATCCTATATGGCCATCTTCAACAAGTGAATAAAATGAGTGGATCTTCTTTGTTTGAATCTATTCATTTTGTGCAGATAAACTTGGCCCCAGGCAAAATAGCTGTTAGCATTTGGGGGACTTTTAAGCTGTTATAGAGGGACCTGAATTTAAAAAATATATATCCTCATGCCATCTCTATGGAAAATAATGTCAGGAACATATGTAGATAGGGATATAACAGCACCACAAAATAATTTATTTACTATTTTAAAAAGCAGGTTTGAAAGGGAAAAATCCTGTTCAGTATTCAATAGCCATTATCAGCAAAGCAATAAAAGTCTGAGGAAATAAGTTAACTACCAATATAAACATTATTGAATATTAATCAAATGAATGACATTACTCACAAGATCATACTGTCCTACCCTATTAGAGATCACAAAAACAGCACCCCTCCCTTCAATCAGAATACTTTAACTGGAAGGACATTATATAAATATACATACATGCATATATGTACAATATATGTGTGTAGAGATACGTATATATATTACGTAAATGTTAGGTGCAGACAAGCATAACATTGCATGAACATTTATTTGGATTGCACCCTTCATACAGACAACTAAACTTCTAAGTAATTTAAATTAAAACTGGAAAATTAACAGGATTTTTTTTTTGTTCTGGGTTTATTTTGGCTTTGTTTTTAATTGTTAAAACCTTACATGTTGAAATGCTCTTTAAATATTGTTCATTTTTAAATATGTCCAGTACATAATTTTTAAAATTACAAATTCTGCATGTTGTTATGGCAGGTCTATATATTTTCCAGGCACTTCTTCCTGCGTTGTCTTAGAAAACATATCTTTAAAAAAAGTGTTTCCACTCAGAATCTTAGATTTGAGAGCTCTAATTCAAAAGCCGTGTATGTTTACAAAAATACTTTTTCACTGCTGTTAGAAAATAGCATGTCAAACATTACTAATTAATGTCACAATCATACGACAACACATAATAGAGAACTATTCCACAGGGTGCTCTCTGTGGTCAAATAAATCAAAACTTAGTAGGTTTATGTGCACAACTATAGAGGTCTGAATGACTTCATGCCAACTGCTTTCAAGATAAGGCTTTAACAAAGTAAATACAATCACCTACAATCATACCAAGTACCTCTAAACATAATGTTGTAAGAAAACTTACTCATTTTTTGTGAGATGGGTGAGGGAGTGGTTAAGTATCAAAAGTACTTATCTTCCAGTAAAAAGACAGTAATACAAACTTGCTTTAAAGGAACCAAAGGCATTGCCAAGAATTATGCCAAAAGAAGGCACTTTGTATTTGAAATTTGAGGATATCTCAAAATAAATCCCAAAAAGGTGTTAACTATTTGAAGTCATACTTTTTGTAAAGGTGTAGATATTCTACAATTGTTTCCATGTATAATAGCATAGATGTGTTTTGTTGGTTTAAAAAAAAATATTTCATAGTAGTAACAGCCTTTCCAAGTGGAAGTGAATTTTGTTCAATTTTTGCTTGCGATAGAAATGTGGAGTGTAATAGGTGTTTCTCTTCTTATTTTCATAGTCACATTGTCTTAGCATCTCACTTTATGAAAAAAGAAGAAAGATACCACAGTCTGTAGGACTCTATTCTTTAAGCACTAGTTTATTAAAACAAAAAAATTATGGCAAAGGGGAGGGGAGGTTCCATTCATGTATTGCCTTTCTGTTTCAAAAAAAACAAACCATGATGCCTTTGTATTTGCTGTTTGCACCCCTGAAATTAATTCCATATCATGTTTGAATGCCATACATTTTGCACATTGTACTGTATATATGTAATGCATACTGTATTTTTATATGTGTAGCACATTTATCATCAGATATTTTGTACATAGTGGCAATATTGTAGCTAATGAGAAAATGTTTGATATCTCAGCATTTTTGCATTTTTGTGTCTCAAATAAAAAATTTTTTTGATGTACTGTGATTGCTTGCCTTACATGTAATCTTATAGTTTCTAAAGCATAGATTATCAGGGTGTAACCTAAACTTTTTTTTTTTAATCTAGCCTTAAGCTTCCTCTGTAAGTTGACAGGGTTGGACTAGATGATCTCTAAGGTATTTTCCAGATTTAACATTCTCTAATTCTTATATGTGAAGTATAGTGTCCTTCAGAAAAAATAACAACCCTGCATTCATACTGCAACATTTCTGAGGTTCACAGTAGATTCACAAAACTTTCAAAAAGTCTTCAGAAAAAAAAATGAAAATGACCTCTGTCAGGTTAAACTTAGAATTTTTCAAGTCAAAAGAGATCTTAGATATAAAGTCTAGCTCCTTTACTTTCCAGATAAATAAATGGGATAATGTTTTACATGAAACACCTATAAATTAAGCAATGGTTTATGCCTACAAGTCAACAA